AGAAAAGAAGAGAGAGAGAGAGAGAGAGAGAAATTGTGAATATATATATATGGATCGTGAATATTGCGTGTGCATTGATAGGGGAGCAAAAAGGAAACGACCGAATGTTGCCATCCTTTGTGAAGACAAATTCAAAAGATGCGGTTTCGAGGTTTCGCATCACTTCATAAACCGTGAGCAACGTGAAATCTACCTTTTACCTATTGAATTGTAAATAATAATCTTCCTTTCGAAATGGATAAAACCGCGATAAATTTACGTTAAAATTTACGTTTTATTTGAAAATTGTCATTTAATGTGCAAAAGAAGAGAAGAGATCGATACAGATTGAAATTGTCTCTATTCCGTCGACAATTTTAAATTTCAATCAATTATTTAACACTATTAGAATTATTAGCTTATATAATTCTGCGTATCTAAATATTAGATTATTGCACGTGATCGATTTCACAAATATGGAAAATTATTCGGAATTTAGTAATTAAATGTATCGTTAAATAATATTTGTCGCGCATCATCAGCCTGTTTGGACCTTGATTAAATATACACGATAAAGAATTCGCTCGTTTCATTATGCATAATTATACACGATACGTATTATTATAACATTTACATTATAAAAGGTCCATTTTTTAACGATTTTAAACGAAAAACAAACTTTCTTCGATCTTCCAAACTTTTATCTTAAATATCCCCCACTCTGTGTTCCATCCGCATCGATATTCATAACGTTCTCCGCGCGATTACATCCATTGAATTGAATCCTGTTCAACAAGCAGCGAACACACGAGAAATGCGAGTTAAGCGACAACAGGTTCCTTCTGCAACGATTCGAGATCACCGGTTCAAGACCGATTCCATTGTGTTTTTTCGTGGTTTTGACCAAAGGTTTATTGCATGTGCCAACTTTGACAGAAGTCTTTATCCAACGGGGAGCACGCGGGGCATTTATCGCGTTCGCCCTCCGACAGTGAACAGTCTCTCCTTTTTAACAATGTCCCGGCCGACTTACGGCCCGGCCAGCTTTAACTTACAATCAGTATTCGCTTTGAAGTAGCCCGCATACTTATCGCTTTGATTGACGTCCCCCTTTTCGTGGTGCTACTAAGCGAGAAGTATATTTACATGAAAATAAATGCACCTTGCCTGTCCAGGCCGAGGTAACGACGAGGTAAAGAGGGGAGGGAATCGAATCCGTCTCGAAAATTAAAGGCAAACAACGAAAACGAAATATCGTCCCTTCCTTCGATCGACCATCTGGCGAGAATTATTTCGACTTTTTTCCAAGATGCGATCATTTCTTCTTTTATCAAATTATCGTTATCTCTTCCACCAGACCGATGAAAATACGAAGAATTTTTAAATAATTTATTTAAGAAGAAAGGTAATTTCACAAACTTTTTTTCTATTATCGTTGTACATTATAATAACGAGTAACGTTTTCATTATATGAATCTTGTATTACGTTATATTTACATTATTCTGGCACGCGTACAATAAAATAATGTTAACGTTGCAGTGTGTTGTGATTTATTTTTCACTGTTATTAAGATATACCGTTTAAACCCGACGACATAATGCTCGAAGACATAATACGAACGTCTGAAATAGAGCGTCGCAATGACTGATCATCTTTTTATCAAGATCGATCTTCGATTCGAGTCTCGAATGAATAATACGCCTCATCTTTCATTCCATCCAATCGTATTGGCCCAACCAATTATGGATCGAAAGAAATGGATTTTTGAATTTTTCATCCTATCCACGATAACCGATTCGAGTGCATCTGTTGATTTGAATTGTTAATTCGAATCCCGTATTTAATTTAATCCACATCGAGTTTTAAATCGCCGTTGAAATACATTGTGTGGTTATACAGGTGACTACATGACTCTGAACGAAGACGTTCCAGAACCCGTTATGCGGTCAGCACTTTTATCTGGCGTGCAGAATCACGCGACGAATCGATTAAACGCGTTTAACAAAGTGAAATCTACATTTCGAAAAAAAAAAAGACGTCGACAGCTTAAAAAAAAAAAAAAAAAAATAGACACAACGTGTTATCCGCTGTGTCACAAAGAATATAAGAGAAATAATAAATACAGATAAGGTAAAACGGAATTCTTCTTAACGAATGATAATTTCGAATCATCGTAGAGCAATCGTAGACCGTAAACTTAAAATATTTTGTTTCGAATAAAAAGAATTTTAAATTAATTACATTAAATATAAAATGTAAAGATTTTTTATGAATCGCTTATACCTATAAAAAATAAAAAATAAAAATACAAGAGTAAAAACTTGCGTAACGAAGAAAAAAAAACAAAAAGAATTTTTAGGAAGAGAGGATAAAAATTAATTCATTACCCTCCTGTTGTTACCCAACAATCCCAACAAATCCTCCACGCAATTGTCCCATCTCCCGCCAAGAAAAAGAAACTCGTCCAATCTAAAAACCCTGGAACCGAAAAGAAGAGATGTTGAATAAACGGTGTTGTCCTATCGCGAGATGAAGAACAAACATCACGGTTATTACGATAGCCGTGGAGGTTTCGATCCGAGTAAATAACCGGCAAACAAACTTATCGTGAAATCGTGATCGCGTTTTGCACATAATAGCGAGTCGTACGGTACGGCACTGGAAATAACGCGGAAAACCGCGTCGTATTGTCCTACAAATATAGCCGGCCGGCCCAACTTATATATATTTACATATCATTCTCGTCGATTGCATCGCGCGATACGGGGACCACGTGGTGTTCCGATGTTAATTTACGAGCGTTGATTTTACGATCGAAGTTACGCGGCAGAAAGAACGTCTAATCCAAGCAACGATGCGTGTCGCGACGGATATTTATTCCGATTGAAACGTTGGCCCGGATAACGGGACGCAGGATTTACTCGAAACGGCGCCCTCCATATATCGCGGACGGTTGTACAACTATTATAGCCGAGCGCCGTCGTTCGTTACGCGAATCGAGTTCCGCGAAATTTTAATTATCGCCGAGCATCGATTGGGCTGGCGTGAAAAAAAAGAAGAAAAAAAAATTAGAGATACGTGCTTTACGCGTAAAATGTAAAATGACACGTAGAATTTTCGTTGCCCGGATATTCGATTAACCGACGAACTTTTCTCGACTGGGTATTTGCAATGATGCGAAGATAGACGTGTAATGCAGTAATAGGATGCGTTAATTATTGGATTAACGAAATTGGAAATGTTTAAGAAAGTTTTAAGAAGGATAGGATGGAAATTTTAATTACCGCGGAGTATCGATCGATGTTAAAAATTAAAAGATACGTGCTTTGCGCGTAAAATGTAAAATGACACGTAGAATTTTCGTTATCCGGATATTCGATTAACCGAACTTCCCCCGTTATCTGAATTGTACACTATCTGTGGAATAGATACCTTTACTTGCCGCGGTGGAAATAAAATTTAATTTGAAATTGATATTGGATATGTCAATGTAGTACATGTAGATATAACTATTGGAATGAAATTGGAAATATTTATATTAAAAAAAGAGAGAGAGAGAGAGAGAGAGAGAGAGAGAGAGAGAGAGAGAGAGAGAG